TATATAATTTACTATTACAAAAGGTTAAAATTAATCAAATGAATTAAATGTAAATTCAGTCAACAGTAAAAGAACTTAGCATATAAATTGCCTCTATATCTGAAAAATCAAAGGTTAAATAAGATGATAAAACAATACAAGTTCCACAATAAGAAACAATTAAAATTGAAGATATTATAATTTAGGATTAGGTAAGAACAGATAAAAATTGTAAAATCCAACAGAATTAGTAGAATATTAAGTGGGGAAGTTAAATTAGGAGGAACTCTCATAAAAACTTACATGATTGAATATAGCTTGAATTTCAAATACTGAGTGTTTTATATGGAATGAAATATTCTAAATATGAAAATTGATATAATGTTCTTATGTTTCAATAAATAAGATGAAAAGGTACGGAAACTGATACAATATTTTAATTTTATCTTAGACTGCTCATTAATAAAAAATTTTCATTAAAGCAAATACTTGATTATTTATTTCAAAATAGTTTCTTCAATTCTAGGTACGGATTAAATTTAATTGTTCACGGTTGGTTTGAAAGCATTAGTTATTTTAATGTAAGTTTAAAATTTATTCTTTATGTTAACAGTCTTTAATTGAATTTATTTTTGATGCTGATGCCATAAATAAAAATAATAATGTTTTCTTTACTATTTAATTTTCTTAACAAATAGCTATTATATATTGTTTTTTGACACATTTGTATTATTTACAAGAAATTAAATACTAATAAATTGATACATTCTTCTGCACTTTTACATGTATTTATCAAGAGTAATTATAATGTTAGCAACTATAAGCATTAATCAATGAATCAAATTCTAAATTTTAACTAATTTTACAATTTGGACTATTTATCTTAAAAATTATTGAAAAATTGTACAATTAGAGAAATAAGGAGGATTCTGCATAATAAGAATAAAAATTAGATAGAATGAATAACAATATATATTAAGAAATTGCACAAATTTCCTTATAATCTTTTGAAAGGATTTTTAATTCAACAAAGATTGTTAATCCTGTAAATGATTAGTTTAATTTAAAAATTTGAAATATTTTAAATAATATCATGAATTATAAATTCAAGTCTAAATGCGAATAATTTATTTCCCTTACAAAAGAGTAATATCTTCTGTTATAAGCCTTCATAGAACGATACCATTTTGAAAATATGCTCACTTTTATTCATTTTTTAACCTTCATTTTATATTAAATTAATTCAATTTCAAATTAAACTTTAGATTGACTTAAGCGGTCTAATAAGTGAAATTAGAGTTACCATACAAGAGTTAATTGTGAAATTTAAAGTTACTTTTAGTAGAATTACAGTTGAACATATTTTTAGTTTTTTTTTGGGTAAAATTACGGATTTGAATTAAACGTAATTTTTTTTCACATTTTCTTTTCTTAAAATAAAAAAGTGCTTTAACAGTTATTAATGCATGTAATATTTACAAAAAACACTATCATTTGTAAGGAAGTGGAGGAATTAATTTCAGAATTTATTTGGAATTCATAGATGATTCATTCAGTTTTATTGTCTACAGGTTTTACTGTCAAATAAAATTAAGGGATTGCATGCTTACTAATTATTTGATCGTACAATTTAGTTAATTAGCGGTAATTAGGTAAGATTTTCTTTTCATTATCCAAAACCTCTCTTTTTATTGTTGAAATTTAGTGTTTCAAACTAGTTTAATCTTTTCTCGTCATAAGGTTTTAATCACTCTATGTTAAGCCGAACATCAATATAATGCACTCATCTCAATAATTAAATAATTTTAATCAATCTTTAAAAAACAGGATGAAATAGATGAAGTTATCAAATTATATTTAAATTTTAGTTCAGCATCTTTTGGTAAAGAATGATCAATTATTTACTGGTTCATTCAATTAATAATCAAGCAGAGGTAGCTTTAATTTGTTGTAAAGAATTCCCTTTCAAGAAACAAAGGTTCGTAAATAAGGAAAAGATTGTAAAGGGGAGACCCGTATACCATGTAATGGCTGATAATAGTAACCTCTTACATTAGATCTGGTTAAATGGAGGATGATTAAGATATAGTAATAAAAATAAGTAATTGGTCAAAATATTTGAAAATAAAGAGGGATCAAAAAAGGAGAAGGTCTAAGAAATGGAAGCAGAAAGGAGTTAGATCTTTGATGAAATAGCAGAGGAGGTGCTAAACCAGTCGGAAGGGTAAGTGCCAGAAAAGCTGATAAAAGAATAAAGGAACAAACAGGTGTTACAAAATATTTAGTGTCTTATGTAAATTATGCAGTTTCTTATCATTATTTCAAGGAACATATACTGCAACTTTAAATTGTGGCTGCTGTATAACCGTAATTAATTTAAGTAATGGATATTGCAGTTTTGTAGTTCAGTATTAGCCTTTTGTATAGAATGTCTTGAAAGTCAATATCGATTCTCAGCTTGTCTTTTAGGTTACTAAGCTTTACAATTTAATGCAGACTAACAAAGTACTTGCAATCGTCACCTATATACAAAAGATCCATGATATGAATATAGAGCTTAACTATTCTAAAAACAAGCAACGTTGAATTAAACTGCAAAAAATATAAATGTCCTGGAAAGTTAATATACTAATGAAAGTGCAAAAATCAGAATCCAATGTCCAGATAAATTAGTACTGTATACAAGAAATCCTTATTGAGCTATTGGAATTGATTCAAAAATTCTGTAACACTATGAGAGGTGAAAGTTAAAGGTATGGATGAGAAGAGAGTAAAAGAATTCTTAGGAGGGATGTTAGAGGAAATCTAATAATCCCAATAAGAAGAATTGAGAAGTAAAGTAGTGACCAAAATGAGTTATAGAATGGCACTAACAGGTTAGGGCCTGATTTCATTTGAGCAGAAAAATCAAAATCCTTTTAGAAATAAATTAATATTAAATATAATTGTACTACTTTTAGAAAAATTCTTGTTTCACTAATTGTATTTTATGTAACCTTATTGCATTAATGGAAAATAGAAATAGAAGAGGTATACCTAATCAAAAATATTTAATACAAAATTCAATCTTCAATGCAAAATAATGTCTTAAGTAATTTTACAAATTTGCAATAGAATATAACATTTTAAGTTCTTCTTATATTCCCTTTATCATATATTCGGTTTTTTCCACATAACTTAAAGATCTTTTTTCGCACTTCTTTCCCTTTTATTTTTTCTTTATAAAGAGTAAATCTTCCAACAAAAAAACTCAACTTAGAAGGACTTGTTTTAGTTAAATTTTTCTCTAAATTAAATTAGCAGCAAGCAATGCCATTATCAATTAAAAAAGTAATTTAAAGTATAGTCATTTAACCTCAAAGAAGAATGTCTTGTTTTAATTAAACAAATTAATTTTATAACAATATCTTTCTTTGAATCTTGATCTTAACTTTAAAGCAATATTAGAAGTTTTGATTATAATGTTTCATCCATTACAAAATTATAATCTAAATCATAAGTACTGAGCAGTAACCCTTTATTTATTTTTCTATAAAACCTATCCTCTTTATATCATAAGTATGGATTTTCACACATATAATTAGTTAAAATCTATATTAAAAAATTAGTTCATTAATGGGAGAAATTATTTAATTGAATTTTGGAGATATTGGAAATAATATTGGACACTAATATTTAGAGAAATTGATAGACGATCACTACCTAGATGAAACAAAAAGCTATAGAAGCGATTAATATAGACAAAAAATTCATGTATCATTTGAAGAGTTAAGGGATAGATAATTCTAGTTTAGAGGAATATTTGAGAATTCAAGCGATTGTAACATAACAAATTATATTATAGAATCCATCAATAAACTATTAACATCTCCTGAATGTGAAAACATCAATAATGACTTATTATTGTAGAATTAAAATAGAAATAAATCAGGTACCTTTTCAAACAGCTAAACTAACTTTCGAGATTAGGTACAAGATGAACTGTTTGAGAAACTGAGACATCATATTGAGAAATGTGATAAATTTTTTGGATGTCATTTTGTGCATTCTACTTTTGACAATTCATCAGGTTCATCATCATCCGCAATAAATTAATACAGGAAAAGATATTTTCATAAACTTTGCAGTTCTTTTTGGATGTTTCCAAACATTGAAAATACCAATACAATCGAAATTTATAATACTGCTTTTTCATTACATGGATTAATTGAGATATGTGAATTGGTTATGATATTTGATAAAGAGCTTTAGAAAATTAATTGATAAAGCTAAGATAATAATGCACTTTTGAAAATTGCAATAATGTTATAGCTGAATGTTTATTATAAATGAATTGCTCTTAACGTTTTTCTGGTCATTAGAATGGAGACTTAAGAAAATTGTCTACTAATCTTGTTCATTATCCTCGATAACATTTTTTAACATGTGCCTTTACACCTATTGAAATTAACTAAGATTTGAATTACTAATTAACTAATTTAAGTCTACCTAACAATACCTATTTTTCTTTTCAAAATCCAACTAGAAATTTATACATTGCTCAAGCATTGATTACAAGATGCAATTCTTATAATTTAGATTTTAATAAGCTGCGTCAACATTATCAAATAAGGTAGAATGGATTGACGATCCTTTATTACATATAAATTGCAAGGTTGAAAATAGATATCTAGGAAAAACAGTTATGCACGTTGGGAATCATAAAGATTTGGGACTTAACTTAAAAATACATAGTGAGATGTTTACTGCTAATTTCAGAAGAAAAGCCTTCTTACATTATTATTTATAAGATGGTATGGATGAAATGGAATTCACTGAGGCTGAATCATATCTAAGTGACTTTGTCTCTGAGTATTTTTAATGCATTTGCGGAATGTCAGAATATGATGAAGAGGAGTAAGGTTATGAATAGGACCTATGAGAATAATTATAAATTATTAATAATACATAAATAAAACCATTTTCTAGGAATTTCTAGAGAATAATAAAGTGCTTTTAAAATTAATCATATATAGTTGGTCAAAAAATTGGCCTATTTTAGTCTGTGCGTCTGTGCTGAACTATCATATAGTTGATAATGAGTTACCATAAATTGTAGTATAAATCAATAAAACAAAGATGATTTCTTTAAAGAATCTTTCTATTGTTCTTTATTAAATAATTTGCTTCTAATAGCAAGAATTGATGATGTGTCATATTTTAATTACTCACTAAATGATATTATTATTTATGAAGACTCTGGATTATTTAATCCTATCAAATCAATTTGTTTTATCTAAGACTTAGAGGTATTTATTAAGATTACATTTTGGTTGGAAATCCAAATTATTTTTAACACTTTCTACCCCAGAAATGTGTGGATGTTAAAGTTGATTGGCTGGATTACTTTATATTATTAGTCGACATATCCGAGAGCTATTTGATAGAGAACGAGAAAATGAGAGCATATACATATTTTCTTCTTATTACTTCAAAGGTAAATTGAATTGTGTAAGGACTTGAAGTTGGAGAATGAGAAGTTGAAACAAATCTAAACTAAAGTCTTATTGATTTTATTATATTACAATAAACTAGTATTATCCGAAATATTTCAACCAAATTCTTATTGTGGATTGCTAAATTAATCAAAAATATAATAAGACGATTTTGCCCTATTGTTATTGTTAATTATATTCAGTTATTGGTTGAAATTATTATTACAACTATTACATTTATTAATATTCTAATATTTATTGTCTCTAAATTTATTATTTTTAAGGTTATCAATTTATAATTAATTATCATATGTCCATCTTGTTTCAATTTCTACCCTCTATTTTTAATTTGATTACTTAGAGCATTCTTTGTATATATGGAAATAAATGAATTAAGCTAGAATTTGTTAACATAAAGAATTGCTTGTCCTAATCAGGAGTAAGCAGAAGTCTAATAAAATCAATTAATTTTTCGTAATGTCTATGATAATTAGTGATACTGTATGTAGCAGTAAAAATGCCTAGTTTTGAGCCTCCTGAAGTGGATGAATGAAAAAATTCAAAGTTCATACTATTAAAATCTAAAAATTAGCTTTCTCTCCTAATTCATTTTTTAAAAATAGTTTAGCCATTTTAGGAAGTTTTTACATTAAAGTAGTATTTTTTCCTCTTCTTCCTCATAAATTACCAAATCAAACTCTCTTATTTGACTGAGCTAAATAAATTAAAAATGTAAAAATTAATTCTTTGAGTATTAGCAGATCCAAAATCGCATAAATTGCATCTTCAGGTATGAGATAACACATTCTCTATTTGAATATCACTCTAAGACATAGGTGTTGTAGAGTATGCATGAAATTATAAATAAAGATTTTGATTGTAATAATTTAATGATATTAAATTGATATTACTAATTTTTTGCAATCAAAATTAGGGATAAAAAATCACCTTCTCCAATTTCTTAACAGTTGGATCGATCCTGCAGAGGACATTATAAATTTTATGATTCAAGTAGGATTTTGCAAAATAAAGTTGTAAAGATGAAGCAAAAATACAAATATAAGTTTGAACTAAGTTAAACTTCATTATATTGTTTCAACTATTGTAGTTTTTGTTAATTTTGAGCTGTCTCAAATATTGATTTTTGTGGAAAAAAGGCAGCAATATAATGATTAAAATATTCAAATTTATTCCAAAATTCAAACTCTTCATCCTCAGTCTCATACCTTTATGCATAAATAAAAAAAGTTAAAATTGGGCATTCTTTCAATAAATTTTCCTAAAAAACTATTTGTTATACTTTAATTTATTCAGTAGCAACCCCATTTTTACATTCATAATCTCTTAATTTCTGAAATGCGCAATAAGGTTAATATACAAATAATTTATGATTTATAAGGATAATCGATATCCTTATTAATTTAATTATTTGAATTATTTCTCCATTTCTAATTTAAATCTTGTATCACTTAAACGTTCTTGTCAAATAAGAAACCAATTGATTATATTGTTGTTAGGCTATTGTATGAAGACTGTTTTATAAGGATTATTATAATTTCTAATCATTCTAATAAACAAAAAAATTAATACACAATCTTTATTATTTGAAATAAAACGATCTTTTTTTCTATCCATCAAAAAATATAGAATTAGATAAAGATGTCCCATTAATTCTTGTTGCTTAAGGTTAATTTTATTATTATATTATAATTTTGTTGCTAAACCATTAGATGGAAATATTCCAGATGTCATCATAAAATTAAAGGCCAAACATTTACATTTATGTTCATTGGAGGGTGATATATATTTTAATTTCCCCTTGTCATGCTATAGACTTTTATCAACGAACCACACGAAGCTAGAATAATAGTGAAATCTTTATTAAAAGATCTTATCTTTATATTCCTAAGTTACTCTATAGAATTTAATCAATAATTCATAAACAAATTGCTTTTACATGTGTTTAGGAAACTATTTGAGATAAAAAAGAATTTCAAAAAAAAGCTCCAAGCATACTTTGATTACTAGATCGATACTGCTCTTTAAGTGAGATGCTATGGGTAAAGTTGCTTGTAACATAAAGTTCTAAAGTAGATTTACTTCAATTACATTTATTATAATTTTTCGATTATAAATAGATTGATGATGTGGTGTTCATAAGTAAAACTATTTTATGAGATTATAGTTTGTGTCTTCCACTTTTTTTGTTTGATTTCTAAATCATCAAATATTTAAATAATTCAGCACCCCTGTGTATCTGCTGCATAAGATTCAATGTGCATTTTGGTTTAAGGGGTAAAATTGTGGCTCATTTAGTAGAATTTAGATCTCAAAAATAAATAAATATCAAAACATCTAGGAAAATAGTTCACTATTTTTACATTAATTTTTATAATTCTTTTAAAACTTACTTTATTTTTCAGTAGAAATGCTTGTTTTATTCTATATTTATCAAAAGAAACATTACCAAATATTAAGGTATCAATATGAGATAAATTAAATTTGATTTGCTGGAATTTTAGAGAATAAATTACAAAAAACTTAGTAATGCTTGTTTAGTATTATAAATTTTAATTCATAGGATTATCTAAATTTGATGATTGGTATAAAATTCTTATAATTTTCTAAAATTAGCCTTGTTGTTCTGATTTTTTTTTTAATTTCCAAAAGCAAATAGCAATATCTTCCTTTGCTTAATGAATTTCTACAATTAATCAAATTAAATCATTAACCTTGATAAATTTATATTTTATTTAGAATATTAAATGTTATCATGTTTTTATTTAATTAGAAATTGAGGGATTTCCATAAGTTATTCAAGGTTTATAAATATTTATTTAACTATTCTATTAGATACTGTATTGTAATTTTTTATTAAAGATCATTTGACATTCTTAACAATTATTACTCATTTGGATATTCAGGATAGAAAATCTTTTATAGAGTGTGACAATAGAAGCAGATTACATGAATAGAATTTTTTGGAGTTATTGAGATGTGGTTCACTAATATCCTAAAAGAAGAACAACTGAGTTTATGTAGATGCGATGCAGATTTTAATCGAGTACTTTTATGAGAAATATTAGTAATTTTTTAAGAGGATGTAATGTGGACATCAGCTCATTAGTATAAAAATTGATAAATGCAAAGGATTGATAAAAATGAGATTTAGAAATTCAAAGACACAAGAATTACCTGTTTTACTTTATGATTTTAAATAGAGAAACCAATATTAAATTTGGATGTTTGTGGTTAAATTAAGAACCTATTATTTTTAAATGATAATAAATTCTTAGTTAATACTATGGAATTGCAATATGATATTTGGTAGTTCACTCTGAAGATCTATTATTTTATATTGATCAGTCCATTTGACTTGTTTTATTTTATTAAATTTACACAGCCTGATGCGGTAAATGTATTATCAATGCAAACTTCTATTAAAATATCCGATTAATGCAATTTACTTTGCATGATGATTTTTTTGTCTGTAACAATGACTTTTATTTTATGATATTATTACTTTGTCTATTTTTGTTATGAAACATCGAATCAAGTTATATATAACCTTCATCAATTAAAATGTCATGCGTCTTTCGAGATTCTATTTTAGTTGTTAAAATTATCGAGTTATCAATCATACTATCATTTTAAGTTAATTCAATATGATAAACTCCATTAATCATTTAATAATGCTGTTGTAATTTTGATTAGATTTTATTTGATTATACTATTGAGAATAAAAGTAATTAATCATTAAGTATAATCAAAGGCTTTACTTTTATATTTTAATTTTAAAATCTAACCATGTGAAGCACGTGGCTTTAACAGATTTTTTTTAATACAGGTTTTCACTTTTTCTTATCTGTCTGCAATAATTTCCTAAACTCATAAATCCTTTTATTTTCATTCAAATATAAAGCCATATATCCCTCCTATTCTATACAAATCAATATTGTGGTTCACAATAATAGGGTAATATAATTACGTTAGTCTAGTCTAGTAGATTATTATGAATTTATATACATTAGAAACCATAATTTATCTATTACTTTGTAAATTCTTTGTATATTCAATTATTTTATAATTTCAAAAATATATTAATTGTTGATTTTTATACATGCATCAAAGCAATAATATTAAAAATGAAGTATTAATCATATATTAAATTATCTTCTCCCAATACACAATCTATAAAGCAAATTAATAATAAAAAAATTAGAATTTTGTAAATTTTCCTTACCAAAGATCTCTTTATTTTTTAACTAATCTGAAAGTAGTGAGGATTCTGAATATATTGTGGTATTAAAATATAGGTTCAGTTAAAATCATAATTACCTTTTTTGACACCGACACAAAAGTTGGGATCAATTTAATGAATGGTTAAATCTGGTTATATTATTTCTGTAGAGAGATTATGAAATAATAGAATCATTAATTTTCACTCTCGGTTCAATTCTAAAGTAACTACCAGAGTTGCAACATTAAATTATTCTTATTCCATAGTAAATAACAGCTACTGGTTTAAAAGGCAGATTGATTGTATATTTTTCTTAATTTATTCTCAAATGTGATAAGATGCAAGTATATGATCATCATATATTATAACCACTTTAAAATCTTTCTGATACATAAATTTAATATATAAATGCAAAGAAATCCTTACAGAACTAAATCAGAAAAATCTAATAAAATTTTTGTCTTTTTTTCACGTTTCTAAGATTTCACACAGTTATCAGAATTCAGTCATTTAATATTTAATATTTTGAAGATGAGAAATTTACAAAAATTTACTTCGCAATCTTTCTATTCAATTTAAGCCTATCAGGATTTGATTATAATGACTTCAGAGTAACACTCTTCAACATGAATATTTTCTAGCCTCATTTATTTTTTTACCAACTTAATCTTTATAGTAGCACTCTAATAAATTTTTAGAGGAAGAAATCTTGCTCTAAAATAGCCCTTAGCAAGAAATATTTAGACTTCTAAGAACAAACCTTAATAGTGTTAAAGCTTGAATTTGGCAATTTGGTACTAAAGTTTTCATTAAAAAATTTGAGAGTTATATTTGCATATCAAGTTGATTGAGATGATCATAGTTGCGTCCATTAAACTTAACAGATCAGAATGCAGCGTTTTCAAAAACTTTCATTATGCTTGGAGAATTCCACGCTTATCTCTGAGAATGGCAAACATTAAATCTTACTTTTTCTAGTCTTCATCTAGATTGCGGGATGATAGCTAAAATACAAAGCTACTCAATTAATTCTATTACAGTTTGGTTGACATAAGTTAAATTTAAGAAAATATTTGTGGATTGCCTGGTTTAAATCAATCAAAATTTCATTTATTTTTTTCATACAGATAACATTCACAATTAATTAAAATTAAGTATCTTAGACACTTATTGATTTTGTAACTAGTTTGAATATATCTTTAAAGTTTTTCTGGAAAAAATTTTTCAATTTCACCTAGTTGATTCCTATCGCTATAAAATTATTTGATTTAAAATAAATAATGAAATGCTTTTAATTTTGGATTCGTCAAATTCTTTTTAGTAAACTAAAACAGTTGATTTAAGAAGAAAAATAATACTGCATTTAAAATAAAACCCATGCCCTAAGATAAAAGGTATTATTTTTCAATAATTTTGAAATATAATTCAATATTGAAAAATTAAATTTACAAGATAATTTAGTTTTTTAAGACTTAAATAAGAAAAAATAACTCAAGTAGTAAGAAAAATATTATTTACTCATCATAAATTTCAATAGGTAAGATAAGGAAAAATATTGAACTTATTGATTCATATATATTATATCTCATATGATGAATACTTTTAAGATTTCATATCTTAAAATACTAAATATTAGGCATTATTGGTGATAGTTCCATAAGTTTATCTAGATTAAGAATTTAATGATGCAAGAATACTAAGCGTGCCATCATTTAATTGTCTAATCAAATAGATATGATTTTTATGTCTTACAAATATCACATTTCTATCTTTATTATGCATAATTGGAAATGATCTATCATCTTCACATTCGTTATTCTTAATTAAAGAAATAGTTTTATTTTAATTCTATTTAAAAACTCTATTCTATAATTCAAATACCAAAATATCATTCATTTTTGAAGTTACCCAAAGAAATTGTTAATCATTAATGAAATGAATTTTATATCCACTTTCGACATTCTATTTATATTTAAATTCCCATACTCCTTACTATCCTTTCTCCCATATGATGAAATGAGAATAATCACATGATGCCAATAAAGTTTCAGATTAATTAAAACTCAGTGAGTTTATACTATTGATATTTTGATCTAAAGAATACAGAAAAGTCAGATGATTCTTAATAAAATCTACTTTCCATACTATTAATTTATTATCCATTCCTCCTGAAATAAGTTGATCCTCTTATTAATTTAATAATAAACAATTAACACTATCAGTATGTTACTCGAATAGTTATGAATACTTCCAATCTTTTTAATTAATTTATTACCAACATATAATTTAGTTATATCCACAACCAGAAATAAAATTATTTGTTTTTTTGCTAAACACTAAACACTTAACAGGATTTGTATGTTTATTGTAAGAATTAGATAATTTAAATCTTCCTTATTCAAAATTCCATATTTTAATCCCACAATTATCACAAGAAATCATAATTGATCCATCTTTATTGAACACTATTGCATAACACCAACCAATCTATTAATTTGAATCATCAATTAAATTAAATTAAACTTATTTATACTTCATCAATTATTATTCTAATTACTTCTATTTATTGCCAACTAAAATCATTTCCTTTTAACTCTAAATAATAACTTCTAATTTTCCTTCATTTTAAATTCTATCGAATTCTTCAATTTCTCCACTTTAAGAATCATTTTCAATTATTTTTCTATTTTTTATTTTAATTTCATTTTTGAGGAACTTATTTACCAAAGGTTTCACGCACTCTATGATTTGTTATTAATAGTCAGTGAAATCGATCTGGAATTAAATAAATTAAGGTAATTCAAGTAGTGATTCATTTTAGTGATTCATGCCTTCAAAGGATTTATAAACAATTTAGTCAACTAATTGATCTATTCTAGTGAAGGAAGACTAGAATATAATAGAATATGAAAATTACGTCTAATTGTAGATCTATTTCCACAAAATATTCTTCAACTTTAGACATTGTGTTTTGGATGAAGTTTGATTATGATGATTAGAGAGATTGCATTTTTTATACGATATTTTAATTAACATATCTAAAATTGATACTTCAGCTTAAAATCTGAAATCGTGTTAAAAAATTAACAAAGCCCTAATTAAGTTCTTTTATAAAAGTTGATTAGATTCAGATCCAATATCTTCGTATACGCAATATTTACAATTTTTAAGGAATGAAGTTTAAGCATTCTCTACTAACAATGTCTTAAAATGTTAAATAAGGGTTTGGATTTTGCTCTTTTTATTAATTTTCCGCTTGCTTATTTAAAAGAAGAAATCTAACTGTAAATTTTTCCATCTTAGTAGAATAAACTTAAACAAAAAATGAATATATTTATTAATGTTAATTAAAAAATTTCAATAATTTCAGATCGATTTTGTTATTTGGAACAGGATTTATGAGTGTATAATAAAAAAAATTTAAGACAATCAATAATTATTTTAATACTAAATAATGTCTATTTAATTAATGCGGCTGTTGGATCAATAGATTCGCTTAGTGATGGCGGATAATATATTTAGAATCAAGCAAACAGAAGTAAAATGTGGAAAAATCTTAGAATAAACTACATCATCTAAAATTTGAGAAAATATTTAAGAATAAAATCAATATATGCCTGGGGGTTTATATGATCATCATCTTCCTGATAAAATTCACCAATTAATGGTTTGTTCAAATAGAGCCAAATCTTTTTTTTTGTATTAAAAATCAAAAACCAGATAGCTAATCAATTATTTCGCTCTTAAAATTACAGTAACAAAATATTTTATCTTATATGATCCAAGAATTGAATATAGCTTATGGAAGTTAAAGATGAAGATTAAAAATATCTGTTTAATGAAAGAAGGATGTTGAAAATATTAATAATAATTTGCATATCCCAATAGAAATAATCAAAAAAAAATGGAATAAAAAAGTCTATGTTTTATAAAATGAATGTTTTGATTAAAAGTAATAAAATAAATTATTCTTTGTTTACAATCCCTATAAGATGTTCAATCAAGATGCACGTTATATAAGATAAATTAGTTAATAAACCTTTTTAAATATAACAACTATTCTATTGATCGACAATTTATTCTGAACTTTCATTATAATAATTAAGAGTAATATTTTATGAAAAGAATATTGTAATTATATTCTCTAAGGGGAAGATGAAGAGAAGATAATTCAGTTAGGGTGATATATATCTTTCTTTCGCTCACATTATATACGAATATTCAAAATTTCTCACTTGCTTTAGTTTTTAACAGGATTAAAATTTCAATATTTCATTTTAAATTACAAAATCTCAATCAAAATATCATAAATGTTCAAAGAACGTCTAACTTGAATTGGAGCAACAAGAAGAGCCAAAATTATTAAATTAAGTAAATTAGGAATGTAAATAGAAAGAATAATGAAATGAAACAAGCGAAATAAAGCAAGGAATAGAACTCAACATTGTCGAATGTTTATAATGAAACCTAGTAATCTTAGATTTTTCAGATGTCTTGTTAATTGGATGAGTTGGAATATGCTAGGTGAACAATCGATTTTGGGTAAAGTTATGATGATCTTAATATTAGTTTAGAAATTTAAACAAACGAATGTGATTTCAGATACTATTATGTATAAAATATTCTATCCCAAGACTTGTGATATTGCCTGTTACGGTATCAAATACTGTGAGGGGATTTCGGAGCTTCTTATTTAAGTCCGCCCAAATGTTACATAGTTGTATCGTTAACTTTTCTAATAGTTAGAGATAATCTTATTTGCTCTTAGATTTATGAATGTCCCCTTCGGAAATTATTGGTTCTAAATTTTGATTCATATTACAGAGGAAATTTTGATTTTCATCCTTCTCTAGCTCCTTTCCTATCCTTATAAAGTCATCTATATCCCATTCCAAATCTTCCATCCCTTATTTCAACACTCCTGTCCATATGAGTTTGTAAACAGCCTTCTATATATGTAAGTTCGAGCTACAAATTAACAATCCTACCCTCCTGAGATACTAGTGTTTTTCAAGCATATCTATATATATTAAACATTGAACCTTCCTCGGTTAGCCCTATATTCGATCTCTCATTACTTCAAAGTAACAGGTAAATAATAATGCTTACAAGTATTGGTAAGGACTATATGGGTATGGACATCTACAATACAATTGTCCAGTTAGTTATGCAACGACTTATTGAACATTTATTTGCATCCAGAGAAGTAAAACGCATAATTTAAAATTGAAGTTAGGAGAATGTAACTACTATAATACCATATTTGTGCTATACTTTGTTTTGTAATAGAATACATTCATTGTAGTAAAAATGCTTATAAACAAGTTTGATTGTATTGCAGGGAGGGAGGTGTGGTTTTTATAAATGGCACACATTTCGATTATATCTATATTAGAATTTAAAAAAAGTTTGCCTCATTATTTTTGTTACATTATGGATTTTCTTCACACTAAAATTTGAAGCCTAAAAATCCCAACCAGACAATAATCTCGATTTCTTAAAAAAAAAAAATTTTTTCTTAGTAATAATATTAAAAAATAAAAAATAAAGTTATACTACCAATAGAGGATTGCTAAAAATGTATTTTGTATCGGTCCCGGCGTCTTAGGGACAGTCATATGTCAGTCTTAACCAAACCCAATTTTGGCACTAGGTTTAATTAAAACTGTTATTACATTATATTACTCTAGAAATTAATCGATTGATTTTTAGGAAGTTAAATTAATTGATGCAATTGAAAAACCATATTGATGTTTTCCATGAGAAATCGTATGTCTTGTGAGGGTATTCTAATAACTTGTTTTATAATTTTATTCTTTCTCCATAAAGAATCAATCAATGCAGAAAGTTTATAAGAGATCACTATTATAATCTCAATCAACACCTATTCTTTCCAATTATTTCTTTTCTCCTAACAAAATATAAAAGATACTATTTTGATTTATACATAAAACTCAAAAATAGTAATAGAAATTTATATTAATTTAAATTTTTTATGCGAGACTGTGGAAAAGCGCAAACAACTCAATAATTACAAATTTATAAATCAGAAAATGAAATTTTCGAGGTCTTTGCTTAATTAAAATACTTAGATGAATAAATTTTTGGTGTAGTAATTGAAATTTTTAAAAAAGAAAATATTGAAGGCTGTCTTGAATTTCTTTCAGATGAGTTAAATCAAAAATAAAATATTTAATATCTAGAAAAAATGGAGAAAGGATGTGTAATAAATTAAATTAAGAAAATTACTAATATTCTCAACACAATTAAAGATAATAAATTTAATAAACAGAATTACTCGATAGATTAATATGAAGATATTAAATATGATCTGATAATAAAAATATAACAGGATAGAAAGAATATTGAATTTCTAAAATTTTTAGTTTGCTTTACGGCCTTCGATGAGAGATTCAGTTAGTGTGGATCAAATTCTCTTCATTTATTAGTTTAAATGAAGGTTGATTTGAGGGGATAATCTTTTGAAAATATCAGAATTAGAAATACTTCCTTAATAGGAGCAAATTTAGTAAGATGTGACTTAAGTGGATCGGAATTCGACAATGTCATTATTAGAGGAATGAATTTAAGTGAAGCAAAATTATTTAATTGTAAGTGGAGTAATCTAAGAATAAATGAGTTAAACACGTTAAATGGCCGTGTTGCAGGTGTCAGTTTAGTTTGCTTTTCAAGAGATGGCAAGTTGTTAGCTTCTTGTAGTGATATTTTTAGATTGTGGAATGTTTAAACAGGAAAAAGAATGTTGGTATTAAAAGGAATAAAATACGCTTGCTTCTCACCTAATTCTACTACATTAGCTTCTTGTAATGGCCAATTTGTATGCTTATGGAACCTTAAAACAGGGAAAAAAATGGCGAAGTTAATTAACAAAGTTTATATTTTAGATGTAAATACAGTTTGTTTCTCTCCTGATGGTACTACATTAGCATCTGGAATTTATGATCACTATTTCTGTTTATGGGATGTTAAGACAGGATTATAAAAAGTTCAATTTTATGGCTATATTAATTCAAATTTATCGTTGAGTTTCTCTCCTGATGGTACTACAATAGCATCTAATGCTTAAGAAGACATAATCCTTTTATGGGATGTTAAAACAGGAGAAGTAAAATTCAAATTTGATTTTAAAACTGATTCTGCTTGGATTCGATCTGTCTGTTTTTCTCCAGATGGGACTACATTGGCAGCGTGTATTGGTCATAAATATGTCACTTTATTGGATTTAAAAAGTAGAACAATAAAAAAAATATTACATGGTCATTCTAATTTTGTTAATTCAGTTTGCTTCTCTTATGATGGTACTTCGTTAGCATCTGGTGGTTCAGATACTTAGATCTTTTAATGGGATGTTAAGACAGGATAATAAAAAGCTAAATTCTAAGTTCATACTAGCCATGTTAATTCAGTCTGCTTCTCTCCTGATGGTGCTATATTAGCATCAGGTAGCAATGATAACTCCATCCGTTTATAGGATGTTAAGGTAGGATAATTAAAACCAAAATTAGATGGTCATTTAAATTCTGTTAATTCAATTTGTTACTCTCCTGATGGTACTACATTAGCATCTGGTAGCGCAGATAAGTCTATCCGTTTATGGGATGTTAAGACTGGATAATAAAAAGCCAAATTAGATGGTCATACGAATAATGTTTGGTCAGTCTGCTTTTCTCCTGATGGTACTACTTTAGCATCTAGTAGTAGAGATAACTCTATCTGTTTATGGGATGTTAAGACAGGATAATAAAAAACCAAATTAAATGGTCATTCAAGTTATGTTTATTCAATTTGTTACTCTCCTGATGGTACTACATTAGCATCTGGTAGTTATGATTACTCTATCCGTTTATGGGATGTTAAGACAGGATAATAAAAAGCCGGATTAGATGGTCATTCAGATTGGGTTAAGACAATTTGTTACTCTCCTGATGGTACTACATTAGCATCTGGTAGCGCAGATAAGTCTATCCGTTTATGGAATGTTAAGACAGGATAATAAAAAGCAAAATTAGATGGTCATAAAGGCACAGTTAATACGGTTTGTTTCTCTCCTGATGGTACCACATTAGCATCTTGTAGCGATGATACCTCTATCCATTTATGGGATATAAAGACAGGATAAATAAAAGCCTAATTATTTGGTCATTCTCAAAAAGTCAATTCAGTCAATTTCTCTCCTGATGGTAATACATTAGCATCTGGTAGTAGTAATAACTCTATCCTTTTATGGGATGTTAAGACAGGATAATAAAAAGCCAAATTGGATGGTCATTCAAGTAGTGTTTATTCAATTTGCTTCTCTCCTGATAGTACTACATTAGCATCTGGTAGTAGAGATGACTCTATCCGATTATGGGATGTAAAATCTAAACAACAAATCTAACCTTCATATAATCATTATTAAGATATTTTGGCTTAATTTTAACCTTCATTTCTTAAAAATAATGGTTTCCCAGAAAGTGGTACAAATTTCTCACTATTTTTTTAGCAACTTCTAATATTACAATTTTACTAATTTCTTAAAATCCCAATTTAGAAGCACAAGGAGCTCGAATTTTGAAAGGAGAATTTGTAAATTATTAAGGTGTAAATCTAAAACCATTATTTGAATTTAAAGGAAGTTTGATTTTTGAAGATTTAATGAAAGATAAATAACAACAAAGTGAATCGCATTAATGAGCAATATTATTTACAATTTTATTTATTTTACAATAGTTTACTTTTTTTAACTGCATTCTAATCCACATTGCAAAATTATTTTAAGGAAACATTTGCTTTATGACCTTAATTTACATGCTCTCCAACAAAACCTGAAAAATTTATTATATAATTGTTGAAGATGATGAATTAAATATAAGAAATACTCATTTGAGAATCTGGGTTTCCTAGAATTTTTCCATTGAATTTCAACGTTTTCTATATAACAAAATCCAAGTAGCACAGAAAAGTTATTAGAATTAATCTATAACCAAATTTGATCAAAAAAAAATCTCAAATTTTTAACTAAAGGAATTATAGATTACTCATAGACTAATCGACCTAACTAATTGCGCTAGTGATTCAAATAATTTGTGAAAAAGATTAAAAGAATCTATCGAGTTTTCATACAACTTTAATTGCTAGAAGAGACTATCAGCTAGAGACTATCATCTTAAGACTATTAGCTGAATATAATAGTGCTAAGTAGATTAAATTTAATAGAATGCCATATAGATTTAGTTGTTCAAAGTGTAGCTATTTAAGAGGTAATTATCATTGTAGACAACTCCAAATTGTAAATGAAGCAGATAATGGAGAGTTCTCTTTAATAATTCAAGAACTATTATTCACTATGCTCTTTAATGAAATTGAAGAGTAATTGATTTTTTTCTCTGCGTTTATTTGAATTATGAAATTTAGTTTAAAAATAACGTTTGATTATTATTTTTCAAAGCATTATCTTGGCTTTTTGCCACAGCAGTCCTATTCAAAGGCACTTTATAAGAAATTATAAATTTACCAATTTGGACATCACTTTCGCGAATCATTCAAATTATTCAGTTAAAGTCTGATATTTTAGGTTTAATTAATTAGTTAATTAGATTTTTAATTAGATAACCTATACTATTCTCCAGATAATAGAAGGTCTAATTAATTTGGAAGAAATGTAAAAAGAATATAAAAGGGAGAGGCATTGAAGAGAATATCAATGAAGCAAGGTGCGAGTTCTATTGATAAATCATGATTATTACTAAAAAAAGATATTTATATGACGTGACATATTATTAATATTGTTATTACTATATGTCATTTGAGTATAATTTATTGCTTAAGAATCTTAAGAAAGAGAAACTCATAGTAGATTACAATTTTAGAGCTATTAGGCTATGCAAGAGCAATTTATTTACTATATCTCAAGATTTATCTCTTTTTTGAATTTTAAGTTTCCTCCATCGTCATGAATCATAAGAAAAATAATCTAATAACTAAACCCAAACTTAATGGTAGCCTTAAGAAATTACTAATAAATTTAAACAGACTCCAATTAAAACTTTTGATTTTAACACTAAAGTTTATAAAGAGAAATTGTGATCTTGTTAAATTTACAATAATACTGATCATGATGGCAACTATGATGAATTTCTACCTAAGGTTAAATTCTTCTTTTAAAGGAATTTGAAATGAGAATAACTCTACTTAGGTTAATAAAACTGAATTCACTATATTCTAATATTTGTTCAAAACCCAAGTTTTGTTTTGAACTTGCTACAATTTTATTATCTCGCTGAATAATGTCTGAGCTGTTTATAATTGCTTAATTTAAACTTCGTCTTTATTCTTATCCAAAATGATTTCTATGATCATCTAATTATTTATTGGTAGTCATTTAACTAATTATATTCAAAATAATTGGAGCTCTAGATTTCACTTTAGGCTTGGAATTAAACCAAAATTCTCTGAAACTTTTTATTTCTTTGAGTATCTAGCAAATGCTTGGAAATCCAAGGGTCGTTCATTGCTTGTGATGCTGAATATTTTAAAGTAACATCTACTTAAAGCATTCATTGAATTAGCTCTTTTTTCTCTGCTTATTGGATCCCATTCCTTAACTAATCTAATAAAGATTGAAAATTACTTGGGAATATGGATTTACCTATTTTGGCCTTCTCAAATATTTCATTCTTATTTCCTGTGAATAGAGGATACCCTCACAACCACACATCACATCACATCTCTCATTATGACTACGATTTAAGACTTTAGGTAAAATGTAATATGACTTGATATTAATTTCATAACATACAGTCCCTAACTTAATGGTCATATTCTTTTGGAATTAAACCGTCTAGAGCATCCAAAGTCAATAATCTTTATTAATGCATCAGGCTCAGTGCCTGAAAAAAGAAGATTATCGGCTTTAAATCGCTATTAATAATTTACTTTTCACAATAACCTTAAGATTGGGTTACTGGGTTGCCTGAAATTATTTAAGGAAAAAATTATAATCATATTTCTCTTTATGTGTAAAAATCTGAGAAATTAAATCTTAACTTATTAAAATTAAACAAATCTATAATAATAATCAAAACCATTTAAAATATTTACAATATTTTTAGATGATATTTTTCAATGAGATTTTCTTCCAATCTTATTGTCATTTTTTTTTTTGATTATCACCCTAGTCTTCATATCAGAAATTTATTTCTATCTCCTAGGTTTAGAATATCAAATTACAAAGTCAAAATTAAATTTTACTTTATTCTCCATCCTTTTTATGTTCAATTGGGATTTTTTATTTCAACTGCATTTTTAATAAATTTCATCCTTTATTTTAGATTCCTTGATCAATTAATTTTGAAATTTCAGTATTCTGATATTTTATACACATTATTCTTAAAATTTGTCCCTAAAGACGACCCCATCTTTCTTCCGAGGCTTAGAAAGCAGGCTACTAATTTTCATATTGATCTTTGCTTAGGAAGTATACAAAAAGTATTTTTGATATTCCTCAAAATAGCTGTTTGTAATTGTGAGCATTTATTCCATTCAATAGGACAACATATAAATTTTGTTCACCCATTTACTATAAGTTACGCTGAACCCTGTTTGCCCTCTGTTTACTTAATCCTTGAAATTGGATTCTAACATTTTAATTACAAAAAAAATAATAAAATAGTGACCTCAATTAATTTCTAATCCGTCTTTAGATGTAAAATCGATACCTCTTCCAATCAAATTTGTGGTAACGTTAATTGGATAAGTTCAAATTTCTTTTTAAATTTACTAATTGTTATTATCTTAAGTGAATGATTTGAAATTGAAGTGTTTAACTTGTTCATCTAAATCATTAATTGTCCTTCTTATTAATAAACATAACTCTTGTCTATCTTACAATTTTCTGCTCTATACATCTCCTCAAATCATTAATTCTATCCAAAACTGTTATCCTATAAATGAAGTCATATTTCACTCTTTGATTTAGAGAATCGCTATCATTTTGGAATCTAAGAAGATCGAATTGGAAAGTCACCTAGAGCTAAGCACAACAACATATTTTTTTGAGTTATATAAATATTGTGTATGGTTCATGATAATATTTTATAAAAGGAGCACCTATAGTAACGTTTTAAATGATTTTATTCTTCACGACAACATTGCTTTTTTATCATAATTTTTGCTTCTAAAGTCCCTTTCATAAAAGGTAACCTGCTTTGTCACCTAAGAATTTGTTATTTCACAATTAAATCTAAAATATTTATCTTAATTTAATTTACATAAAGAGAATGCTGCTTTACATAAAGCATCAGTTATTGTTAGTGACAATCTTAGGATATTTTGTCGTTTATTAATAATTTCTATAGCTCAGTATCAAATTCTTATTCGGGTTTTCACATTTCCTTTTATACATATGTTTTCTGTTGTATCCAAAATGATGATTTATCTACTGATTCACATATCGATGGTTATATGTCATACCTTCACAGAATTATCAGAAGCAAAAAAGTGCAACTAACTCAATAATCCTTACATAAAATTAGACTATTAAAATTTATTAGGCTATTAAGTAGCTCTTATTCACATAAACATTTCCATTCCATCAGCATTCAAAATGTACAACTTTGTAATCCTTATCACTATTAATTTTATATTATTCTTTTTAGAAGTGAAGCACATGTTATAGAATAAATTATTAATGCTGAATCGGCATCATTTACTTTCTAATATATGCTGTGTTTCCTGCATGGATATTATAGGATGCTATGGGATAGAAAATGGAGTGAAACTGTTTCCATTTTGTCCACCTCTGTTTTGATTGTAAAAAATTTCTTATAGCTAACCAATTAAAGTGACTATCAAAATTCTTGATTCATCAGTTGCTCTGTAGCTTTTATCAACGCATTTAGTTTGCTATTAGACTCAGCAAAAAACATTTTAGCTAATATTCTTACTGCAGACACACAGAATTAGAAATTAGGCATTATTAATCTTAAGTTAACATCCTCCTGTTTAGAACATAATTTGGTGAAACAATATAACACTCCTCTTGTCTTCTAACTATAGAAGAGGATAGAATTTAATTTATTGTTTAGCTATTCGGAAATTACACTTTCTATTTCATTTTTGCATATAGCTATAATGGTGAGATAGGCTGTTTTAAGTGCATAAATTGAGCAAGGATTTAAGAAGCCTATCACAATTTCATAAATAAACTGACTATTGTGATCGCCACATGCTGCAACAGGTTATCCAAACTGAAATCTGCTTTGTCCTTGCATCCATAAAATTAAAAATTGTATCAGTACATGTGATTGCATTGTTGCTGCATGAAAGAGTTTACAAAATTGCTACCAGGAATAACAGATTCATTCTTGGTATTTAGAATATATGTGTTTCAAAAATGCCTATCCCAAGGTGTACTTGCATAACTTCTATAAACATTTTATTCTCAAAACAAGCTCTAAATTCTCAATGTGCTGAACCTGTATTACCAAAAACATCAATTCCTTTAAAAACTGGTAGGAGTAATCGTTTTTCTGCTATTTTATTCAGATGTTTGTAGTATTTTCTGCATCAAGACTTCTGAGCATGCATTATTTTTTCTGCATATGTGCATTTTTATAAGTATAAATCCAGTGTCATCTATTTTGAGTGTATATGAAGGATCATAAACTAGCAAACATCATAATTTTATAGACCTGTGACACTGCACAGATTAAAATATATTCTGCTCTGCAACATGCTTGGAGAATTGTTATCACTTTATTTAGTATTGACAAATGGAAGCAAATGAATATTTCCTAGCATAAAGATTGATATCCTTGAACAAAGTTACATCGTAAATAGCCCAAATTGACGATATGAGACCTAACATAATCCAAAGTCATTTGGTAAAATTCATGGAATAGAGCTATTTACAAACTTGTAGGGAACTCAACAATAATTTTGTGAACCCATGCAAGGCGGGATTCACCTAGAAACACGTAAAACAAGTTCGTAATGAGATACTAATGTCTAAAATCAAAGAAAAGGGTGAAAGAAAAATGTCACATTCTTCGATTTATGTGAATTTGATATCAAATTCATTTTACACTCAAGTGTTCATGATATTCGATATTGATCAATCAAAATTGTAGATTGTACATCCTGTTTTCTTTATGTTTAAAATCGGTTATAATGTATTTACATCGAAAGCATCTAAATTTTACACATTTCATAGTGAGTTCTTTTGTAATTTCAGATATTGAACATGCAGGTGTCCTGGAATTTCTTATAGCATTTAGTACATTATCTTCTCTAATCTGTGAAAAAAAATCTTCAATGAAGGTCACCGAAATAACAATAATATCAAAAGTTTTGGTATACAATTTCAAAGAAAAACTTTATTGATCTCAAGTAAGTAACTTTAATAATATTAGTTTTAATATTAACAATACCTGATTATTCATAATAAGGCTCTACAACAGTTTAATGAATAAAAAATGGAGATATTGGACATCTATAATCAAGCAATGAAATTTGACTTATTATAAAATGACAAATATTATTATTGCTAATTATTCTTCAAATAAGGTCTACGTATAATTAGTTTATATTAGGATCAGTTGAGTATTCTAAATTAAAATAAACTCAAATTAAAGTTTATTTTGATATATAAAGAGTATTTTCAATAAAAAACTAAATTTAGCAATCTTTCTTTCTTGCACCAAAATTAATAAAGGAGTAGTTAATAAGGTTCAAATAATTTTTCCAATATCTCTAATTAATCAAAAGGAGTAAAACTGATTTAGTAATATATCTCCTCTTCTATTTTCTAATAATTGATATCAGATTATACTTCTACTCATTTTACAAGTTTGAAAAAATAATATAAAGCAAAAATATTATTTACAAGAATGGATGTAGTTAAAAAGGATGGGAAATAATAAGAAGAGATAGAGTTAAGTTTTTGGAGTGATTATAAATGTGAAAAAGAGAAAATGAATCATTTAAGAGAGTTTAAAAAACTGAATCATTATTGCTGCTCAATTAACTCGTTTAATTTGATTCTTCTTCTTAGAATCATGAAAAAACAGGAACCTATATTAAACCTTAATTGATATAATCACTTTTGGAGTATGTAGGGTTGGGAGAGATTAAGGATTGAGAATCCTTTGTAGATTTTCACTTAACAGAAGTTCAAGCACTCCTATTCCTATGAGAATTCAGAAAAATGAAGTAGATGAGATTTAGAATTCTCTAGATTTAATGCAATATTAGTGAAATGAAGATTAGTGAAGCAGAACTAAGTGAGAGTTTTTCAACCTTGATGATTCTCAATTATATGGGCACTGACGAAGTATGTAATTGATCTAGCTAACTTGGAATCGGATTCCTGAGAAAACACTCAAAAGTAGTACGGGAGAAGCAACAACTCTATGAATAAATCATTAGTTTAAGCTAGATGTCTATTAATTATGTTTTTTGGTAAATATAGATGAGGATGGGGTATTATATTAGAGGTCAAACTGCTGAAAAGTTCTTATTTTTGAAAATATATTATTTATAAACTTATCAAATTTAAACTAAATTGGGTGAATGGAATAAAAAGGTTCTAAATCATACTTCAGGTTATAAATTGAGGACTCCATAATATATAAGTCGAAAATCTAAATTTTTAATGATCTGATTAACATGAGAACTATGAGATCTGAGTATAACTTGTATTTTTGAGGCAAATCACATTTGAATTCACGTAAGAACTGTATGATTAAGGCACTAATCAATTAGTAAAATTCTTGATGAAGAGCCATTCCTCTTTCTGATATTAAACACTTAAATGAAGCATCATTGAGTTGCAGAGTATTGATCTCTATAAGCTGGAGAGGCCACAATCCTTTATTGTACCGTACATATATTGCCTTCATATATTTCTACTAAACATATGATTGTATAAAATTAAAAATGGATCTATTAGTCCTAAAAACAAACTAGTATTGTAGTATGGGAATTAGAGCACTGCTATTATCCATTTAAATTCATATTTTTTGTTAATGCCTGAGACTTGCTTTCTAGTGAATAATCAGTTCTCTATGTAGGAGTTAAAGCGTAATGAAATAACTAGAATGCAGTCTACCTTTATGGAGGACTGAGGTCTAAATTAAATCTTTTGGTTTAATAAAATTCGGATTGAAATAGAGAAATATGAATTTAAAAAGTATTATGGAAGAAGAAATAATAGCAAATGGATAAACGAAATCAATTTCTTAACAAAATCTTTTACGGATAATAATTTTTAAGTCATCTCAGAATGAAGAATAAAATCAACTCTTCAAAATAAAGAATATTACTATTGGCGAATGTAAATCATTTAACGTACGTTTATTCAAAGATTAAAGAACTCTAAAACCCAAAAAAATAGTTGATTCAACATTTTTTATCATTCAAAAATCAAAGAGTTCCTAATTAAAATTTGTAAAAAATGTAAATTTAATTGGATAATGGATAACAGTCAAATCAATACTTATTATTCTTATCGTAAAATAAGTCCAATAAATCTTACTATTGTAACTTAGTATTTTCTATCCTATAATAATACCTTCTTTATAATATTTATATAGATTGACCTTTATATTCTTTAGTCTTTGTCCTTCCCATAAAGAATGCCTTTAAGGCAGAATCATTCATTACCCCGTTTTCCATTTATGTCTCGATCAGCGTTTTCAAAGGTAAAAGATTTTTCCTATGTACAACAAGAAGATAATTTTGAAATTTTTGATTTCTCCTTAGCTGTAAAATTGATAAAATTTTTTGATTTAAATTAGAGGAATAGAACCTTATTTTGACCCAGACAATTTAGGAGAAT